TTAAGAGAATGTGAAGGACAAGTTGCCAAGCGAAAATTTGCACTCTCATTTTTGCTTTACGTTGCCACAACTATGACAACCAGTACATCAGTGAGAGCAGCGATTTGAAGGAAAGAGTTAAACAAAACACGAATATGACTGACGGGAAACTAGCGTAACCTCATATGTCCTCGCTAAACATGTGGATTCTACAGGCCACCAAACTGACTGGTCAGGTGTGCAGTGTTCTGGCTGAAGGTAAGCTTGCATCTGCCTGCACCTGCAATACCAGCCCATGCAGACAACTGCACATATACTGAACAGGAAAGATGGGACGCTTACAACAATGTACTTCCAGTGCTTACATTACGCATTTAGACATACTTCATTTATTTTTTTCATTTTCATGTAATTGTTTAAAGAAAAATGTTACAAGATAAACAAATATACAGACGAGAGTCTCAAAGCAAAAAAAAAAAGAAACTGAAGTGGGACGCTGTGCCTTTCTTACGGCTATTTTTGTGAACCAGGCTCCCGTTGTGGGCGCCATAATGTCAGTAAACTTTGTATCCCTTTGGTAGGTGTATCCTTTTGCGTCTACACTAAAAAGCAACAGTTGCGCATAGCTTTTTTTTTCCCCACACAACATTTAGCTGTTCACGGTAGTTGCAGCTGAAGGAGCGGCTTTTTAAGCTTTGATCAATGGTAATGTTTATTTTTGTGATGTTTGCGCAGGCTACAGACAGTTTCCATGACCAGACCGGATTTTTTAGAAATTCCCCGACTTTTTCAGGTTGATAGACAGCCTCTCATGATTCAAGGAAATGTACAGTCACGAATAAAAATTAACAAAAAACAACAGAATCGATGCTTCGGCACCCAATACGTCTGCCTAGTTCATAATGAATGAATGCATGTGGGTCTTTTTAATTGGCGAGTGTACGTTTTGCGGAACCATACTTCAAAACATATGCCTGAAGTGCTCTTTGTTCAAAATAAAACCTTACACATCGCTGTTTGCTACATCTTGGTTGATTGTACACACTCAGCAAAAAAATGTGTTTGAATGCTTTAGAGACTACCTGCTGTTACGTTCAAAAACTGCAACCCCTGGTACCAGTCTCGGATAAACAAGGGTCACAGACTCTGCAGTGTCATCTTCACAAGGAAGGAGCAAAATTGCCAATTATGTCTTATTGGTACTAGCCAGCTATCCAGCTGTCAAATGGGAACCAATCGACATGTGCGCATTATGTACTCCAGCCACACGCAAGTTTACAGTTATTAAGAGCAAATACGCTCCTGAATGTCACTTTGGCGGTATGCTGCTGCACAAGGAAAGTGCATTTTGGAAGTCATAGGTACTTCAGTAGGACAGCACTTGTTATTCCAGGTAATATTATGGCAGATGTATACAGCACCTAGCACAAACTTTAGACACAAACGCAACCCGTGAGGCCGCGTTTGTGCCTAAAGTTCTTGTTCTGGGCATGCTGCGCACGACTGTGGCCATATACTGCCAGAGATTGAGAATAGCAAACTAGATTTTTTGTGGCATAGAATGTTTAAATGTGTTAACAATAACGAGAAAAGTTTTAAAAGAAAGGATACTACAAACTCCACTCTGATTACTACTTATTTTCAGGCAAATGATACCTACCAAGGTTAGAAACTAAGACGTAGCAAAGAGAGTTTGTTTAATGCACTCTCCGGCAAAGGCGCTTAATTGATTGATTGATTGATTGATTGATTTGTGGGGTTTAACGTCCCAAAACTACCATATGATTATGAGAGACGCCGTAGTGGAGGGCTCCGGAAATTTCGACCACCTGGGGTTCTTTAACGTGCACCCAAATCTGAGCACACGGGCCTACGACATTTCCGCCTCCATCGGAAATGCAGCCGCCGCAGCCGGGATTTGAACCCGCGACCTGCGGGTCAGCAGCCGAGTACCTTAGCCACTAGACCACCGCGGCGGGGCAGCAAAGGCGCTTAGCAGTGAGCTCAACGAAGCTTTCCTGTATGAAAACGTGACACGAGTGGCAAAGCGCACTCCCTCAAGTTGACCTGTGTTAGAGGGGCTTCCTAAAAGAACAAGTTCATAAACCGTTAAACTTGCGCACTAGTACTGTACTTTCATTCCTGCCATTTTGCTAATAAACCATACTGTTATTCTACCATGTGCTGTATCATATTGCCCTCTTTCCCAACAGTTGAACACACTTAAGGCGAAAACCTTTATCGTCTCATGCTCACGCCTACCCATCCATGCCCTAGCATGGTGCCAGGTGGCCGCTGGGGCATGCCAATAAACATTAGGCACGTCAAACTCAGTGGCGCTCGTTTTTTGCTTGTGTAGCATTGCTGTACTCAGAGTGTCCAATCGTTAAAGGAGAGAGATACGCGCATTCTCACCTACCTCGCCTCAATGGGTACAGGTGTTCACCGAACACAGTTTGGAATTTACAAAGTGTCTAATTTTCCTGATGCCCTGCTAAGATATTGTTATAAAGAATAGTGTTTCCTCAGATCATGCATCAACTCTCCGAGACGTGACCTATGAAAAACTGTCATTGCGTCCAATTCACCAAACTTTATTTCGATGCAAACAATGCACAGCAACAAAAGTGTTGCCATAATGAAGCGATTTGTGGGTTTCAAAGCAATTCTTTTTAATTAAATTGTGATTAAATATTCATTATTCTCAAGCTTATGTTCAATTTTTTGCGTAAACAAAACCAAGTATGAGGCTAGCAATACTGTGCAAATTACCTTTCGATTATGTTCCATCCGAACAAAGAAAAATCATTTTCGACGTGGATCACGGAAAGCGGGACAAAAACTCGTCGAACAAGGTAATGCCTTCAGCAAAGAGTTCATATGCTACAGTACACTACAAAATAATGTTAAATGGAGGCAATTACTACGCACGAGCTTCAACTGATCCAAACCTTGATGTGTCTTGCTCCTTCGTAGGAACTACAGCAAAAACTACTTAGTTAAGTACACAAATGTGTGCAAAGCACATCAAACGGTTAATATGCTGCAACCATCTAGAAAAACGTAAAACTGATGTTTCACTAAGCTTGCGCGAATATTGCAACAAATATTACACTATAATTCACCTTGACATTAACTTGGAGTGCTGAAAATTTGAAAGTGTTTGAAATAAACGAACAGGTGTACATTAGTCAATGTCACTCCAGTAACCCTACCCCCCGTCTTGTAAAGATGATTTCACTGCAGTAAAGGGCGCTTTACTGTGAATATACCTATCTACTGTAACTCCGCACTGCTGCAAAGGCGCACTTGTAAGTTAAATGACCATATTACCCTAACATGAATCTAATTTTTTTTTTAGATTAAAAAGCTTGTTACACCAGGCTTGTATACTCTGGGTACAGCAAATTCTAAAATGTATCATATTTCTCTGGGTACGACTTTTATTCTATAGGAAGTGAGATCCTGCTACTATTGAATATTCTTTCCGCTTCGCTTTGAACCAAAATCAATGACATTTTCGCACACCTTGTTTAAATTATACTTTGCAGGTCAGTTGGGCCATGAGAAATATGCTCATATTTTTTTACAATACGTGATATATATACTATTCAAACTCTATTAGCAAGAGTGGAAGCTTAGGCTAGTTGGTGCGTAGTCATATTTGCAAGATGTTTCAGCGCGCGAACAAAGGAAAAAGGACAGGGTAGACAGAAAGATATTAAAAATTTTCAGACCGTTTCCTCCGACGTTTTGACTGTTTTCCGAGAGTGCCTGAAACCACTAGTTCTAACCCATGAATCGCCCACCGATAACAACCTGAAGTTTCTAGATTTGAAGCTTTTGCTAGAATCCCGACATGTTTGCTGGATGTATGAACCAAGAAGCGGCAATCCACTTCTGCCTTTCAGCTCAGCTCACTCTAAATTGGTCAAGCGGGGCATCGCTAACCTCTGCCTTGCAAGCCAATGACTTAAAGAAGTCCTGCCCCCACATGGTACACCACAGCTTTGCTCTACAAGTAGAGCGGCTTACCAAAGCTGGTTACCCTGCGCATGTTCTTGTTTCGGTGGCGGAAAAGCTGGTCACTGTCTTGAAGGGAGGCGACAAACCGGATAAGCGAAACAGTGTCAGAAAGAGCCGGCCTGTCGTACTGCCTTACATGCACGACGTATCACACAGGCTAAAGAAAGATTGCCCGAGACGTCAACGTTTTTGTGGTTTTTTCTGCCCCAGAAAAATTACAGAGGCATTGCAAACGGAGTCAATGCACCTCGTGCAAATTTTGCCTGGTGCTCTATCGCGCACAGGACACGCTACGTCCCATGCACAGTGGGAGTACTTGATTCCACTGACGTGTGGGTGCATCTATGTCGGGCAAACCGGCAGGTGCATAAATGACCGCCTCCGAGAACACCGAAACAATGTAAACAATGTGATACAAGGGCATCTTGGCATTCATTGCAGAGATTGTGGGTGCACCTCTCTTTGATCAGTGCTCAATATTGGCAAGGCACAGGGACCAGCTTACCCGAGAAATCATCCAAGCCCAAAAAATACACTTGCTAGGAGATAAATGTGTGAGCACATCATCGATTGCTTTATCACAGGCTGAACGTGATTACCTGGCTGGGCTTTGAAGCAGTAGAGGACCCGTCACACGTGTTTTGTTACTGATGTGTAGATTAGGCTTGCATTTTACCTTCATGCTCTGTTATCATCCTTTTTAGCAGTATATATTCTTGCCACTCTGTGAAATAAAGTTAGTTGGAAGTCAGCGCTCTTTCTATCTACCCTGTCCTTTTTCCTTTGTTTGCGCGCTGAAACATCTTACAAATATGTCTATTAGCAACTATATGACCAAATCACTATTCCCTTTGGACAAAAAGGTGCTATTCGCACAAGCCTAGATTCCACGGCGACATATTTGACACCAAGGTTATGTGCAAGAGCAAACCATGCAGTTTCTTCAGAGCTAAATAGACACAGACCGTAAGAACTGCAAACACAGTGCATCAATGTTTCCACACGCCATTTACCTCAACGTTTTATTAGACATGGTAAATAAACAAATATTAAAACATCATAATATTAAAATGCATTAGTCAAAAAAAAAATTAAAACGAGATGACTAAATCCAGTGCATGTTTTGTGCGTAGCATCTGCTTCGGGGTGGCTGGAGAGAGGAGGTGCCTGCTACTTAGGACGTGCCTTCACTACTGTAGGCACAGGGACATCAAACTTGAAGTACTCTAAGTTGGCATAGATGAGCACAGTGATGCCGACGAAGGCAACAACGAGGGCCAGCTTGAGAAGCAGAGAGAAGCCCTTCCTCTGTTGCTGCTGTTGATGCCCAGCCTTTGCCTTCACGTGGTTACCGCTGCTGCTTGCCTCATTCCTTGGCGTTGCCAACCTGCACAACAATGCAATGTAACTCAATCAGTCAACTTACACACAGGCATCATACATATAACAGGCTGCTTTTACACAGGCCAGACCCTAGAACTTTTTAAAGGTTGTGGAACATGTATGTGCACTAAAGATTGCAGCATCATAACTTTTGATTTAGATGATGTAGGACATCCTACTACACTTTGTTCTCATAAGAACGAAGTCGCACCTGCACTAAAATAACTTCGTTATATCCTACACAATATTAATGAGAACTAAGAGAACGATGCCGAGAAAACTATAGAGGATGTTATAAGAGGCAACTGTAACGTAAATGTGAAGAAAAAAAAAAAAAGTGGACGAAAAGATAACTTGCCCCCAGCAAGGACCAGACCTGCGACCATCAAACAGGCCGCACGTCCAGTCCTTGCCGGTGGCAAATTATCTTTTCGTTCACTTTTCTTTCTTCCCATTTATATTACAATTGCCTCTTATAACATCTCCTATACTTTTCTTTAATAATTTGTCTAACAAAGCAAAACAAGCCCTTAAATTTACACTTCTTTCCTTCATTATAATTGAAAATATGTTATAAACGTATATTCATAACAGTGTACCTATGATACAAGTACTTTGCATTTGTTCTGTTATAACAGATAACATGTTATATCGATGATCATTGTATCAAGGTGGGAGCGTATCGCCAAAATTTCAATGAGAGGACAACAGGCACTGCATAAAAGAGAGGAAGAGGTTGATTACGGAAAAAAAAAAAGATTTTTGCAAGCGTGTATATAACTGCTGGGCATGTTACATGCCCTTTATAGGTAAACATATGTGTCATATCCGTCTGGCTGGGTAGAATAAATTAAAGAGTCTCCAGCTGGAAAACACACGAAATCTCCAACATCAACTGGGCGGCGGGGACACTGACAAGCTTGTATGTAAACGACTTTCAAAATCAACGAAGAAGGCAAAGCATTGGCAGGAGCGGCGGGGACAACGATGGTAGAGAGGGGGCCAACCACTAAAAAGTACAACTGCAGAGCCAGCTGAGGAGTTACCCCCTCAAGAAAAGACCAAACGAGTCTTAAAGAGTCGGCCCAGTTTTTAAAATTAAAAACTAAGAACTAAACTTTGCTTTCTTATACTCTGAATTTGTGCATGCGAAATTACACTGCTGGTGGAGTGCCTGCCTGTGACACCTACTTCGGGAACTTTAATAATGTTTTCCAGTTAGAGTTTCTTCACTAGAGATAACTCTTGCAATAGCGTCTATGAGAGCTGCAATGCACGGCACTTCAGCCAGCATGGAAATTTGTCCAAAATCCATTCTTTCGGCTCTGTTTGGCTACTAGTGGTCTAGAGCCGCTCTGTCGTGATACAACAAGCAGCAAATGTTCAGCAGGTCACCAGTGTACTGTGACGAAGGTGGCCTAAACGGCATTCTGCACAAAATAGAACAAGGCCAAGAAATTTTCGAAAATTCAGCACCCCCCCCCCCCCTTTATTTCACGATGGAGTTAGGCTTACGGCACTACTTCAAACATTATCTAGTCAAACACTTGCAAGGCGCGTTTGACCTGATAAAGTAACACGAGCACGTGCTCATCGGCCGGTGACAGCACCACTTATCTACTGGTATGCGTCGTTGCTAGGGCAACTAAGCGTGGTAGCTGGCAACACCGACGTTTGCAGCATGTCGAGTTTGTTTGCACGCAGTAACAGCGGCATAGGCTTCCAGCTTTAGTTTCTTATCCACTGCGGACAGGGAACCGACGGCCAAGTGACGTTACTTTATCTGATCGATCGCGTTTCGCAAATGACGTGCCGTGGTTTAGGGTAAAAGTCGGGGCCTATATCCCTGGATTGATTGAGGACCCAAACTACAGGTGGCGAACGTGGCCTTCATTTCTTGCTTAAGTTAGCGCACGAGCGTTTTGGTGCAGCATGATGCAATTTTGGCACATCTCATGGTTTTGGCACAGCTCTGCACAAAAATGAGAAATAGTATCAAATTGATGCAATTGGCGCAGCTGTTGCACCCATGAATGATGGCCGTTTAGTACACATTGTCTGCCCTTCTATGTGTGTCATCACTTAGCACAAAATTTTGATGTCAAAGTAATCGACAAAATAAAATTTGTTATAAATTTTTCTTCAGAGTGTCATGATTACTACAGGATATATGGTGGTGTTTACGAGAGATCTTCAATGTATGCGAATTAAAAGTTACTAAGTTAAAAATACCACAAAAGCATTTATGTTTAGTACCAGCAAAAGTTTCAAGCCTTACTAGCTGCTGGCTATAGTGAAAAGATGTCGCGAAGGTGGTAAAATACACTCGAAACAAGTAATGCATGCATTGTCAACTGTTCACAATAGGCTCGCAATAATTCAAACTTCGATAATTCATACTTCCAGTTATTTCAAACAAAATTCAATTTTTTGGTTGGCTCTCTATTCTTTCAATGTATTTAAAAGCCCCTTAATTCAAACTCCATCATTTGGTTAATTCATACTTTTTGCAGTTTCACACTAAAAAACATCTGCTGCTTTCCCACAACTATTTAAAAATTTGTGTGCTTATATAATAGTAACCGTCTAAAATTAAAATAAGCACCTTAGGCCTTCAAGAAAAAAGGCTTTGCTGGTAAACAAATGTTTACCATGCGTGTGCTTTGTTTCGAACCGTGATGTTTCTCAACTGGCATAAAGAGCTTTGTGCTGAAGGCAAGTACCTATAGCAAAGAAGCAGTTGCCAATTCACGATTTCTTCAAAAGGTCTCATCAGCAGTAAATGGCCAAAACCCTGTGAACCTTACTTCTCTTTCTATTTAATGCGTGCAGTCCGAGCTTCAAAACACTTAAAAACTTTTTAAATGTGATAAAATCAATGCCTAAACCTAGTGTGTGGTGCCACCTCTGCCAGAGTCACCTATCCGAGAACTTCCGATAATTCAAACTTCTTGATAATTAAAACAAAATTTGGAGATCCCTTCAAGTTTGAATTAACAAGAGTCGACTGTACTAGCTTTTCTTAAAGATTGTGCTGACCATGCACATACCATACGTAACAGAAGCACTGCCCCATGGAAAATAGCAGTGCGGTGGTACTGCCCGAGATAATGCCACCAAGCCACTATGACATCAGCTCCTTGTTGTTACAATCATTCTTAGCCCAATAAAGCTATCAAGATATGCCTTTCCTAAGTTGAGGAATTGTAGAAATAAAATTGACCTGTCTGGCCATTTTTGGAGTGGGAATGGGCTAAGCTTTTTCAATCCAAGAAATTGAAAAGAATAGAATTATGGCAAGTTGCAATTCCCGGGAATGGAATTGGAATGAAATGAAGGTGCCCATTTCGCAACACTGGCTCGAACCCACCGCACTGCGGCTACCGTATCCTCGCAACCGTAAATGCCGCAATCCAGTGCATGCCAATCGGTTGCCAGTCGTAGCTTAGTAAAATCTGTGGCCACAGCAGATTTGACTAAATCATGGCTTAGTCAATTTTTTTTTTCCGTGCTGCTTGTTTTGCAACAGTTAGAAAAACTACACTGTTAACCTCTGGTCTGCTGTTGGCATCCTTGCAAACTCGTGGAAGGCGGTTATGCAACAAACCTTCCGGAACTGTTTTCACCCCGCGAGCTTCATAGTGGACACCGAGACTGCCATCTCGCGCGGAGTGGACAGCGCGTGCAGACATTGGCTTCGACATCCTGCATGTTAGCTGTGTTTCGATTTCAGCCGGCATAACCTTTGAGGACTTCGCCGATACTGACAGACTTCGAGCCGTGTGCGGAATCGACTGATGACGAAATAATTCGTCAAGTTACGGAGGATTCCGACGACTCTGATGTAGTGTTCCTACTTAAAATAACGGAACAGCATTAAAGCTTCAGTATGGAACTGGCGTCCATCTTAATCTGCTTTATTTTTCACTTCATCCTCCTCTTCTTTCCTGCCCCGGCTCTCGCGCTTCTTCATCTTCTGTCCAAAGGCTCATACCGCTTCACCCTTCCCGCTTTCTTTTAATTACCCCTCCTGGGGTAATACTTGAAGACATTCCCAATTGAAGCACATTCAACAGATCCACGTTCACCAGTGTACCAGACAGTCTTCAAAATTCCGTTCTGGGTGGCTGTCTTGGTCACAGAGTAAGGCCCATAAAATTTGGCACTGGAATCTCTTATTCCTTTTCTCACTAGTACGAGGTCGGTGACTTGAATGTCTGGCATGTCTGCTCGATGCCTCTTGTCGAAATTCTTTTTCATTCGTTTTCGGTACCTCTCCTCCTGTGATTTTTGTTGCCTCTCCTCGACAATCTTGAGGTTTTCCAAGAGTCCCAACTCACGGTCTGCCTGCAGAATAGGGGTCTCTCCTGTAGAAGCGTACTGTGGACTGCACCCCAAGCCACTTGTGTAGGATCGGTTATGATGTTTTACGGCTGCTTCTAAAGAACATTTCCATCCCCCAGGAAAACTATCGTACATCTTGATGTATTGTTTCACGTCCCGTATGGCACGTTCTGCAAGCCCATTCGCCGCAGGATGGTATGGCGCACAGAACTTGATCGATACATTGTGATCTCGAGCCCATCTTACTAGCTTTTCACTCTTGAACGCGGGGCCGTTATCGCATACGATTGTCCGCGTAGTTCTAAACATGTCTCTTTCGAGAAGGGTTATGACGCTATTTGCATCTTCTTTTCCTGCTCGTGCCGCGACCATCCTGGTGCATTCATCTATGGCCAGCAGAAAAGCTTGCGTTTTTCTGACTCCTTCCCGTTTCTTGTTAAGTTCGGCGAAATCCAGGTGAACTACTTCAAAAGGCACGTTCGAGTGGCAAGGTAGTATCATGGTGTCCGTAGGCTGTTTATACTTGACTTTGTGTACTTGACACACATGGCATGAACGAACGTACTGACTAACGTCTTTCTTCATGTGAGGCCACGTAAACCTCTTGACCAACTTGTTGTAGGTACGCCAAAAGCCGTCGTGTCCTCCAGATTCTGGGCT